AACTTTTCATCTGTCCTTCTGCGGGAGGTTTGTGACCTGTTAGGCACCCAGAAGGTGCGCACTTCCCCCTACCATCCGCAGACCGATGGTATGGTCGAGCGTCTACACCGGACGATTACCTCTATTTTGTGCCATCAAGTATATGAGGCGGAGCTCGATTGGGACCTCCGCATGCCCGGGGTTCTGGCCGCGTACCGATTGGCACCTCACGCAGCCACGGGTTATTCGCCCTTCAACTTGATGTATGGCAGGGATGTTGACCCCCCTTTGGACGTACAACTGCAGGTAAAACCAGCCGCGTCGCGGTCGAAACTGTCCGACCACATTCGGTTCAATATACAGAAGTTGGTCGAGGCGCGGCAAGCCGCAAGGGAAAACTCCGGGGCGAGGCAACAGGCAAATGAACGCCTGCACAACCGCCGCGTATCCACACACACATGGTCTGTGGGGGACAAGGCATGGTTACACTGCCCCCAAGTACCCTTGGCGACGTCGGCGAAATTGCTCAAACCCTGGCGGGGTCCAGTGGACATTGTTCGGGTGGTTCGGGACCAGTGCGTTCGGGTTGCGTGCGGGCGGCGCTCATGGTTTGTTCAACCGTCACGACTGAAACCCTACATCACGCCTCTCACTGTCACCTCACGTTCATCTCGCAGGGGCCGTGCGCTTGGTGTGTCCGATGGCCTGGGGGGTTGTTCTCCTGACCCTTCCTATGCACCATGCCGTGTTGCTGCTCCCCCGGTTGCCACAGGAGTGAGTTCTCCGGCGGCGCTCACGCCGATGGATCGCCGTGCTGCTTCGCCGGCCGTCCGACAGGGAGCTGACCCGCAAGCACCGGCATCCGCCTCAGCTGACAAACCGGAGGTCCATCGCCCGGCCCCTCCCAGTCCCCCACCAGGGACTCCTGGCCCTTATGATGGTCCCGCTACAAGGACTCGCTCCAGGCTTTCCCGATTCTCTTAAGGCCTGTCGCCACTTCCCACACTGTCCGCCTCCTCCCCCTGTGTATGCGCCGGTCATTGCCTCACTTGTCCCTTCTTCAGTCTGCCGGTGCGTTCATCGGCGGGTGGGATTCAGGACGCAAGGGGAGTCGAAAATGCGCGTGGTCGAGTTCGGGTTTTGTATGTTTTATTCATGGCGTGTAATTGTACAGGTGGGTTTGGGCGACTCCTGCGAGTTGCTACTGTTCGTTGTTGTTGTTGTTCTTGCTGAGGCACACGAGTTCATGTTCAGTTTAATTTTAGTATTGTCAAAAGTAGAGGCTTATTGTCATGGCAGCCGGGACGGCTGCGGGCTATACAGGGGGGGGGGGGCGTGATGTGGTGGTCACTCTGTAAACACGCACACGCTACACAGTACTTACCAGAGCGGGGTCATTCATAACCCTGATTGAGACGCCGCCTGAGGGGTAGAGGCTGTGAAGTGTGTGTGTGTGTGTGGGATCCCCCGGAACCCTGGTCCTAGGCAGAAAGTGGGATCAAACGAACACAGATTGGTTGGGCTTCCTGTGGCCAGAACCCCTCCTGAGGGGAGGGGGCTGCGACGGATCTGTGATCCCTCGGAACCCCGCCCCTCGGTGGGGGAAATCGTATAAAAGGCGGGCTCCTGGGAGCAGAGTTCAGTTCGTCTCAAGCCGAAGCCGAGCAGCCGCCTGAAGAGGAGATCCTGGACCCCAAGCCCTGATGTCTTTCTGAGGGCCGGGGCTCAGTGTGGTACCAGTGATCAGCAGGCTAGGACCCTGCGGTTCCCTCAGCCCGATGCCCTTCTCAGGGCCGGGTCTGGACGGGCCAGTGGTCGAAGACCCACCGGTGCCAGTGGTGGGTCAGCCTCCCCTAGGTCCAGCTAGCCGGAGGGCTAGAGTAGTAGTCGGACCCAAAGCTAGAGTACGCTAGCCCGGAGGCTGTACCTCCCTAGGTTGTGGGTAGAAGGGGCCGTTACCCCTTCCTGTTAAGGACCTAGTGAATTGTTGTTAAGGACATCAATTAAAGTGTTTAATTCCTACTACGACTCCGTCTCCATCTACGACTACTACACGGGTAACAAGCTGAGATTAGGAGCACTCCCTTTAAGAGTGTGCTCCTCATCTCAGCTCGTTACCTGTATAAAAGACACCTGGGAGCCAGAAATCTTTCTGATTGAGAGGGGGTCAAATACTTATTTCCCTCATTAAAATGCAACTCAATTTATAAAATTTTTGACATGCGTTTTTCTGGATGTTTTTGTTGTTATTCTGTCTCTCACTGTTCAAATAAACCTACCATTAAAATTATAGACTGATCATTTCTTTGTCAGTGGACAAACGTACAAAATCAGCAGGGGATCAAATACTTGTTTCCCTCACTGTAAGTCTGCAACCAGCACCGTTTATTTCAGCGTCCCCCAGGGCCCTTCCCTGGGTCAACTTTTCTCTATCTACGTGATCTCGTTAGGTACCACCCTTCCTCAATGTTCACTTTTATACTGATAACACTCAAATTTACATACACTGCGTATCGAATGCTATTGATTCCCTCCGCTCTCTCATTACCACTTTCACTTATCCGAGCTTGGATGCAGCACAGCTTCCTCCAGCTGATTGGGAATAAAACAAAGGTTATGCTCATTGGGTCTCACCACCAGTCTGATGATCGATTGTTTCAACATACGCCCTGCATATCAATAAAATCGTCAAGGTCGATTTTTTTCATTTACAGAACATTGTGCGGCCCTCTCGTCCGCTTACGCAGAACAATTGGTTAATTTTATTTTCTCATGCATCGATGCCTGCAACTTCTTGGTATCTGAAACTTCCAGTATGGTTCTCAGATGACTCCAGTCTATTCAGAATACAGCTTTTATGGTTCTGACCCTCACATTGAAGGCAATGAATGATCTTCACCTCCAAATATTGGGGAGTTAATACGCAGCTACTCTCCAACAACAAAAACTCTGAGGATGGTGGACTGAAGCTCAAGTCCATGTGTGATCGGTTCTTTGCTTCCATAGCAGATGGACTTTGGATCTTTCATCCGAAGGCTGTTAGGGAGTCCGGTTCATTTGGATCTTCAAGTTCTCGCCGAAAAACATTTCTCTTTCATTTGGCTTTTTGCATTTTAACTGAGCCACTTCTTACCCAACCCCACCCCCACCATGATGGATGTGAAGTGCCTTGAGATTTTATAAAAGGTGCTATATAAGCTGTACTTATGATCATTATTTATACTGCACATATAGTATATAGGTTGTGAAACAAACTTCTTTTAATTTAACATTGTAAATTAGTATAAAGAATTGGTGCATGTTCATAACGTTAGTTAGTACCAAGCAATGTTGGTTTTACATTGTGTTACACTTGTTTCCCATGGAAAGCCTCACTAAGTCTCAAGATCTTTTCAGGAGTGTCCTGCTAAGTTTTCACATGAGTGGGTGATCACTGCTATGTGTTTCCGAATCGAGTAAAACGTGTTATTTTCACATTTGGCCTGCAAAGGCAGATGGAGCGTAGTATTTACGGTTAAATACACAACCCACTAACCGAGGCGGCCTGCCAGATACCACTGCGCCTTATTTCTGTGTATATAGATATAATTTAGAGAGTACCGGCATGGCTCTTGCAGCGCTGCCTCTTACAATTCCGTTTCATTATAGCGCTCCTTGTCCTGGTTGAAAATTCCTGCCGGATCAGACCATATATGGAAGGAAAGTGGGCGTGGTGTTGCCCATAGGGGTGCCTTTGCCCATATGTGGTCTTGGGGAACCAGAATTGAAATGTCTTGTATCAATTCTGCTCATAGTCGGTCTTTCAGCCGTGTTAAGAGTATCCATTCATCTAGGGTTAATCACTGCATACATTAATTGGCGTTCTATGGATCGAGCAATCCCATTGGTTAGTACAGTATAGCTTTCCGTGTGAAGCATGTGTTTATGGCAGACGGTGGTTAATCTTACACAAGCTCCAACCGAATGCACTGGTGAGTGTATAACTTATTGTATTTTTACATCATGGTTTAAAGTTATTTTTATTTATACAATTATTTAATCATTTTCATGATGTGTACAGTATCATTTATTAAGGCTATTATCGATACCCCAATGAAGCCCTCATATCGGTCATCGGGACAAAATAGTGTTGTCGGTACGCATCTCCATTGGAGCCATGTTATAATGACCTCGTATAGTGGCTCCGTTTACCAAGAACGCATCCTGAGCGCTATACGAGTAGTACTACAGTATTGTAGCAATGTTTGTTAAGAATATATGTGAGCATGTGTATGTGTAGGGTGGTTGTTATGGTTGCAGCATTGTTGGACATTTTGTGCGTGGTTGCAATTTACTTTGCTGCGTGCTTGTTAGCTGTTGAGGGCGTGACGGGTTTATTTTTTCCATTCCTGTTGCTGTATGTCCCTGTACTTTTCCTGTTCAGTTGTAATGTGCACTGTTGCTTACTTTATTGAGGGCGATATTGGCATGAGGCCCACCCCCCCCCTCATTAATATTCATGAGTGGGTGGATTTTTACACTAACACAGAAGGTCGAGCTGAATTAAAAATGTATTACGCAAAGTCGCTTCAAATATGTTTCTTTACAGAAAGTGGCGGTAAAACATAAATCTAAGCAGCACAGTACTACATCCGTGCGTGACGTCACTGCAAAAGGCCCCCCCTTCATTAATATTCATGCGAATATGGAAATTTACAATAACGCACAAGAAGGTCGCGCACTCCACATGCAGCACCCCTCCTCTCATTAATAAGTAGGTGACGTCACTCCACATGCCGCACCCCTCCACAATAACCATTAGCGGGTGATGTCACTCTACAACCCTCCCCCTCAATAATCATGAGCTGAACAATTTTTATATTGAATATTTCATATTTACTGCAATATACACCCGTCCTTGGACGGGCAAAAAAGCTAGTATAAAATAAAGATTGATTGGTTGTGGTCTGCTCTACTCTCTGTTGATGCCCGTGGCGTAAGTGGCTGCATTGTGTGTCGCTAACGATACTGGGCTGTGGCAGGCTGCAGGAAGTGATGCGCCAAAACCAAGAACTGCGGAAAGAGAATGCAATCAGTGAACACAGGGTGGACACCCTGAAAGATGAGAATGGGAGCCTGTCTCGCAAGGTTTGTTTTAAAGACCAGATTTCATATTTTACAAATTTTGTCCTGCTCATCTCCTGTTGACAGCCTTTATCCAGTGGTGGAAATTCCCCATTTCTGCATACGTGATGCTTTGTAAAATGCTTTATTGTTCCTAAATGGGGTGACCTCTACCAATTAAATTGGTGTCTAATTTACTCAACCCAGATGTGCTATAGGCTGAGTAAAACCTCAACCAGGATCTGAACTCACAACCTCTCATTTGTGAGCTGCTTGCTATATTTCCAAGCGACCTGGCTGGAGCATATTTTCAAATTTTTACGTAAAGTATTTACCCGATTCTTTTCTTTTTAATGGTATCCTTTAAAATAAAACAAATCCATGTGTTTTTGTGTTTTCCACCTATTGTGTTCCCATTGTACTATTGGTGCCATGTCATAAGACAACCAATCCATTTGAATCTGTCAAGGCAGTACAACCCATTCTATAATTGAGATGCTTTCAACTGACCTCTGGTCTATACAGTAGAAGGCAAAACTTTCCTACACACCCCATCACCGAGAGTAGTGTCTTATGGCATAACAGTTCAGCAAATATTTTTCATTTACAGAGATAGAATTAAGTCTGGAACCAAATATAATGTGCTGATGTTTTTGTGCAATCATTGGTGACCAGACTGAGACCATCGGCTCGCTACACTTGAGAACACGGTTTGACCAATGACCTCGGTGGTGCCAGCTCAGCGTTCTGACGTTTGTGCCACCTGGCCACATCTGCCATGTTCTCTCCACACTCTCGTGTCTCCCCTTTCAGTGCAATCGTGTTTGCATTGTCTGGTCTGCTGAGCTGATAAAAGTTTCAGCTAGGAATGAGATAAACTAGTTTATGGCTGGTTTAAGTAGTTGGCTAAGGCTGATGAAGGTAATCGTACAAATAATATTAGTACAGCTTCAAAGTGACATTCTGTTCGTGGTTTGCAGCTTACGGATACTGGAGTGAAGCTGAATGAAAGTCGGACTAAGTTGCGCGAGGTGGTGAGCTGCAGTGAAGGGGCGCTCCTGCAGAAGGAGAGAGAGTGTGTGGAACTGAAGACTCGACTGCAAACATTGCTGGACATAAAGGTAGCTCCAAGAATTTCACTTATTACAATATTTCCCCTGGATCATCCCTTGAGATGGAACAGGGCATCGATTGATACGTACATGGCAAACAATTAAAGACATGTACACTCACACACAGCTTCACCATACTCAACATCATGCTCATCGTACGGTGCAAAATAAGTTCCACATACATACATCACACATAGCATCATTAGTAGTTATAGTGTCATCACACACAGCATCATTGTGTGCATTTGCGTATGTGCTGTGGGCTATGCAGTGTAAGTGGATTGTACATGGTGTGTGGCATGTAGGCCGAGTTGGAAGAGCGAAGGGACATCCTGGAAGCCAAAGTGGCTGTTCTTGTGGAGCAGCTAGAGGAGATGCGGCAGGAGGTGACCTGTGGGGAGGTTTTGGGAGATGCTATTCAGGTACAACAACGGTAATTAAATAACTAATGGAATCCTGTAGGATCATCGGACTATTAACAGTCCTACCAGGAGGAGTCTTTTCAGGAAGAAGCAATCCAAAAGACCAATACCCCTTTGCCACGACTGGGCTGTCTGTGCCCCTGATATAAGTTCAAAAATATTGTTAATGCTCGAATGAGCATTGAGGCACTGCCTATCTCCTGCTTACAGCCCAGAGCCAGGGCTGAAAGTTCTCCATTCCTATGGCCGGGGGCTGTCTGTATAGGGCAACCACTATCGACTTTCCCACAAAGTGGTACTAATTTTAATGACCACGAAGTGAGGGGTGATTGGTTGAGTCAACCCCCCAAACCACTCTCTCTATCAATGAGCCACCTCAGTTGTTGAAAACAAACACTATTAAATCCAAAACTACATTGATAGAAAAACGTTACAGTGAGGCATTCTATTAAAGGTCTCCATTGATATTACTTATGCCACTGCCACGTATTTCTAGAACATGAATGCAGTGATGTGACTCACGTACTGGCAAAGCACCTGACTGGTTTTAAAGCCTTTTTTTCATTTGATCAGCCTGTAACACAGGTTATTGTGTGCCACACAGATTATAGATTTTTGCGTTCCACCTTCATTTAATTTACTGGTGCTTAGAGTGACAAATGACACTGTTAAGATGTAAACAATGATTTTACTGGTGTTATTTTGGGTGGCTGTAATGATTTCCCATATTTCTCTGTAGATGGACTCACTAAAGCAAGAAATAGCGACTTTGGTGAACACTCAGAACCATCATAATAGTTTAGTTCAACAACTGCAGTCTGATAAACATACTCTGCAGTCAATTATAGATGAAAATGATAGGCAGCTGGAGCTGCAGCTATTCCAACATCAGAACACGGTGATGGAATTCCAAAGGGAGTTGGACTTAATGAAAAAAAAAATAAAGGATCTTGAAAGGAAAGCAGATCAGAGAGAAAATGAATTGTTAGCTGAAGTGGAAGAGAACAAAATTAGTGTAGAAAAGCTTCAGAGAAAGTTGGAACAGAAGGAAGAAGATGTAATTTGTTTTGAGAAGGTTAACGAACAAGAGAGATGTAGATATGTGTCAAGTATTTCAAAGATTGAGCAGAAAATTCTAAACATTGAAACTGAAAAGTTAGAGCTGTCTGAGCAGATGAAACACATGCAGGAAGAACTCCGTTGTTTCTTGGCGAATGAATCCATTCTTAAGGAGGAGAGGGATATGCTGAGAGTGAAAATATCTGATACTGAGAATGAAAAACAGACACTTCTGAATGCAGTGTCTGACTTAGCACAAGAGAGAAACAGGCTCATAGGAAAACTGTCACTCCTGCTTGAGGAGAGTGACTGTCTAGGAAGGAAAGTGGTTGGCCTCGAGCAGGAGAAGGAAGGTCTTGTAGTGAGGATGGCTGGTCTTGAACAGGACAAGGAAGGTCTTGTAATGAGGGTGGCTGGCCTTGAGGAGGAGAAGGAAGGTTTCGTAGTGAGGGTGACTGGTCTTGAGGAGGAGAAGGGACATCTTCTAGTGAGAGTGTCTGACCTTGAAGAAGAGAAGGAAGGTCTTGTAGTGAGGGTGACTGGCCTTGAGAACGAGAAGATAGGGCTGGTAGTGAGGGTGGGAGGTCTTGAGGAGGAGAAAGAAGGTCTTGTAGTGAGGGTGAATGGTCTGGATGAGGATAAAGGACATCTTGTAATGACTGTGACTGGTCTTGAAAAGGAGAAGGACGGTCTATTAATGAGGATGGCTGGCCTTGAGCAGGAGAACGGACATCTCGTCATTAGGGTGGCTGACCTTGGAGAGGAGAAGGAAGGTCTTGTAATGAGGGTGGCGGGCCTTGAAGAGGAAAAGGAAGGTCTTGTATTGAGGGTGGCTGGCCTTGAGGAGGAGAAGAAAGGTCTCGTAGTGAGGGTGACTGGTCTTGAGGAGGAGAAGGGACATCTTGTAATGAGGGTGACTGACCTTGAAGAATTGAAGGATGGTTTTGTTGTGAGGATGGCTGGTCTTGAGAATGAGAAGGAAGGTCTTGTAGTGAGGGTGGCTCACCTTGAGGTGGAGAAGGAAGGTCTTGTAGTGAGGGTGGCTCACCTTGAGGAGGAGAAGGAAGGTCTTGTAGTGAGGGTGACTTGTATTGAGAACGAGAAGGAATGTTTTTTAGTGAGGATGGCAGACCTTGAAGAGGAGAAAGAAGGTATTGTAATGCGGGTGTCTGGCCTTGAGGAGGAGAAGGGACATCTTGTAATGAGAGTGTCTGATCTTGAAGAAGAGAAGGAAGGTCTTGTCGTGAGGGTGGCTCACCTTGAGGAGGAGAAAGAAGGTCTTGTAGTGCGGGTGACTGGCCTTGAGAACGAGAAGGAAGGTCTGGTAGTGAGGGTGGCAAGACTTGAAGAAGAGAAGGAAGGTCTTATAGCGAGGGTGGCTGGTTTGGATGAGGAGAAAGGGCATCTTGTAATGACTGTGACTGGTCTTGAGGAGGAGAAGGGACATCTTGTAATGAGGGTGGCTGACCTTGAAGAGGAGAAGGAAGGTCTTCTAGTGAGGTTGGCTGATCTTGAACACGACAAGCAAGGTCTTGTAATGAGGGTGTCTGGCCTTGAGCAAGAGAAGGAAGCTCTTGTAATGAGGGTAGCTGCCCTTGAAGAGGAAAAGGCAAGTCTTGAACGGGACAAGGAAGGTCTTGTAATGAGGGTGGCTGATCTTGAACACGACAAGCAAGGTCTTGTAATGAGGGTGTCTGGCCTTGAGCAAGAGAAGGAAGCTCTTGTAATGAGGGTAGCTGCCCTTGAAGAGGAAAAGGCAAGTCTTGAACGGGACAAGGAAGGTCTTGTAATGAGGGTGGCTGATCTTGAACACGACAAGCAAGGTCTTGTAATGAGGGTGTCTGGCCTTGAGCAAGAGAAGGAAGCTCTTGTAATGAGGGTAGCTGCCCTTGAAGAGGAAAAGGCAAGTCTTGAACGGGACAAGGAAGGTCTTGTAATGAGGGTGGCTGATCTTGAACACGACAAGCAAGGTCTTGTAATGAGGGTGTCTGGCCTTGAGCAAGAGAAGGAAGCTCTTGTAATGAGGGTAGCTGCCCTTGAAGAGGAAAAGGCAAGTCTTGAACGGGACAAGGAAGGTCTTGTAATGAGGGTGGCTGATCTTGAACACGACAAGCAAGGTCTTGTAATGAGGGTGTCTGGCCTTGAGCAAGAGAAGGAAGCTCTTGTAATGAGGGTAGCTGCCCTTGAAGAGGAAAAGGCAAGTCTTGAACGGGACAAGGAAGGTCTTGTAATGAGGGTGGCTGGCCTTGAAGAGGAGATGGAAGGTCTTGTAGTGAGGGTGACTGGTTTGGATGAGGAGAAAGGACATCTTGTAATGACTCTGACTGGTCTTGAAAAGGAGAAGGAACGTCTGTTAATGAGGATGGCTGGCCTTGAGCAGGAGAACGGACATCTCGTCATTAGGGTGGCTGACCTTGGAGAGGAGAAGGAAGATCTTGTAATGAGGGTGGCTGGCCTTGAGGAGGAGAAGAAAGGTCTTGTAGTGAGGTTGACTGGTCTTGAGGAAGAGAAGGGACATCTTGTAATGAGGGTGACTGACCTTGAAGAGGTGAAGGATGGTCTTGTCGTGAGGATGGCTGGTCTTGAGAACGAGAAGGAAGGTCTTGTAGTGAGGGTGGCTCACCTTGAGGAGGAGAAAGAAGGTCTTGTAGTGAGGGTGACTGGCCTTGAAAACGAGAAGGAAGGTCTGGTAGTGAGGTTGGCTGGTCTGCATGAGGATAAAGGACATCTTGTAATGACTGTGACTGGTCTTGAAAAGGAGAAAGAAGGTCTGTTAATGAGGGTGGCTGGCCTTGAGCAGGAGAAGAGACATCTCGTAATGAGGGTCGCTGACCTTGAACAGGACAAGCTAGGTCTTGAACAGGACAAGGAAGGTCTTCTAATGAGGGTGGCTGACTTTGAAGAGGAGAAGGAAGGTATTGTAGTGAGGGTAGCTGGTCTTGAGAATGAGAAGGAAGGTCTTGTAGTGAGGGTGGCAAGACTTGAAGAAGAGAAGGAAGGTCTTGTAGTGAGGGTGGCTGGTCTTGAAAATGAGAAGGAAGGTCTTGTAGTGAGGGTGGCTGGTCTTGAGAATGAGAAGGAAGGTCTTGTAGTGAGGGTGGCAAGACTTGAAGAAGAGAAGGAAGGTATTATAGCGAGGGTGGCTGGTCTGGATGAGGAGAAAGGGCATCTTGTAATGACTGTGACTGGTCTTGAGGAGGAGAAGGGACATCTTGTAATGAGGGTGGCTGGCCTTGAAGAGGAGAAGGAAGGTCTTCTATTGAGGGTGGCTGGTCTTGAACAGGACAAGCAAGGTCTTGTAATGAGGGTAGCTGCCCTTGAAGAGGAAAAGGCAAGTCTTGAACGGGACAAGGGAGGTCTTGTAGTGAGGGTGGCTGGTCTGGATGAGGAGAAAGGACATCTTGTAATGAGGGTGGCTGGCCTTGAAGAGGAGAAGGAAGGTCTTATAGCGAGGGTGGCTGGTTTGGATGAGGAGAAAGGACATCTTGTAATGACTGTGACTGGTCTTGAGGAGGAGAAGGGGCATCTTGTAATGAGGGTGGCTGGCCTTGAAGAGGAGAAGGAGAATGAAGGTCAGTTTTTAATCTCGGCCGTGTCACAAAGGCAAGAAGAGCTTGAAAAGACACGAAAACAACTTGAAGAAAAAGAAGCGCTGGAGAATAACTTGAACGCACGCATTCAAGACATGCATGTTCAATTCTCGTCATTCGAAGACACAATTACGGACCTTAATGGCACGATTATGGATTTGCAAAGTCGATGTAGTTCCCTGCTAGGTGATAATCAAAAGATTGCTGACAAGTACGAGATTCAACTCGCGCAGGAGCGTTATTTGCAGAATAAAGTTCACAAACTAAAAAACAGCATATTTGAACTGAAAGAACAGCACGCTTTTCTCGCATTACAGAAGGAACAAGACAAAGAAATGTTCCAAAAGATTATTTCTGCTGCAGCTGCCAGAGAAAAGGTAGCAGCTGACAACATCAAGAAGGCATTGGACTCACAGTTCAACGAGTTGGAAGTAACGTCAGCGCTCTTCAAACGCCAGAAATGCGCAGCTGAGCAACGACTGCAGGTTCATCTTGAGGAAGCTGACAGGGTTAAGGAACAACTGGAGAACATGAGCCTGAAATATGAGGCAACACGGCAGAAGATGCTTGAGGATGGAGATGTGGCGCAGGGCGATAAGAGGAAGCTTCAACAAGAGGTAGCTTTTGTTTATCTCTTGCATTAGAATTTAGTACATTTGGTTATCTGTGTCATTTTTAATAGCAAGGTTACTATGAAGAAAGGCACTATGTTTCACAGACATTATTTGGCTTGTTGAACCAGCAAAGCTTTAGTGAGTCTCATGACGATTTTTCAGTAAGGGGCAATGATTGCTAGGTCTTCCCCAATTGGGTATTGTCGGTACATTTGAAAGTGTTGGCAAATTTGGACTGTGATGCCGGCACACAATGGACTACTCGCTTCCAAATATATCATGGCATCTTTAACATTGACTTTGAAGCAAACGGTGCATATTTTTTCATGGTGAATACACACCGCAGTATTAAAACTAGGGCGGTCTTCCAAATTTTAACCGAATATCTGCAACTACCGCTCGGTGATGTCAATTATATTTTATTGATTTATAAGTATTTTGGACTGTTCACAATGTTTCTTGTGTTTGTAGGCTGATGATTTAAAGCAAAAACTAAAAGAATGTGAAGGCAATCACAAGGTGCGTATTCTCAGTGCAATGTCATTAATAAAACGTGTACAGATGTGCATTGATGTCATCCAGTTTCAGGAATAACAAGTGTTGGTCTTATACAGCATCTTGCGGTTATCTCACTTAAGATGTCAATCCGTTTAACGTATTTTGAAAATGCATTTAAAATAGAAAACAACCTTTCTACTTTTAAAATCATGTGCGATTTAAAAAAGATTAACGGCACACATAGACTCAGCAATCCTTGAAAAAATGTCATCAACCTCTTTGGGTCATGACTTGATTTGTGTTTTCTTGTCAATCAACCTTCACCGTCAGCAGTGTGGTGTGTGGAGCGGGATGTAATGATTTCCTGGCGGCCCTCGGCTGCTTGCCATTGCTGCATTAGCATTGTTGCTGCATTGGCATTGCTGCCCCGCCCATGCTGCTAATGCTGCTGAGACACTTTATAAACAGTTTGCCTTTAGAGGCTAACCCCGTTTTCCTGATGACGACCGCTTTTGTTGCGATCGAAACGTCGTGATATTTTTATTCACTTTATTTTTATTTTTTCTATCTACGTGACTTTACCGAAAGAACCATTGAATATGCCGTGCATGTGTTCTTGCAATGTGTTTTGGACCTAATCTCTGTAGCGTGTGTGATTTTAGGTCAAAGAGCAGAGATGGTCAGTTAGCCTGGAGCAAAGCCAGAAGCTGTGTCGGAGTTTGCAGTGCGAACTGGCTGAGAGCCAGAGGGATTCGGCCAACAAGGATGTGCTTATCCAGAACCTAAAATCACAGGTGAGCAGGTCCTATAACATTCTATTCAGTTAAGCACATTCCAATCTGCTTAGGTCGATCGGTGCTGTTCAAGTCATTCCTGAATGCTGTCCAATCTTGAAGCCTCGGCTTTTAATTATCATTGTATTTTTGGCAGATGGTGTCTGCTCGAGTCGGCAAGAAGTTGCGTCTCCCGTCCACGGATATGGATTGCAGGGTGTCCGCTGTCTCGCACGGCACTGATAAAGTTGTGTGCAGGGCAAGCCGTGACCGCCTCACGTCGGTTAAGGCCAGCGGTGGGGGTGGTGGTGCGACTTTCACTTCAGTAGCGGGTGGTAAGGGGCAGGCTGAATTGGAGAATGTCCAAGTGTCTGCGAGAGGCTGCCGCACTAGCAAGCGCAATGGGAGCACTGCCGCCCGGCGGAAGGAGAGCGATGAGCTGAGTACAGACTCCCTAGATGAGTCGGGCACGGTGGAGCACCACTGCTCCAAACAGATCATCCACATCAAGGTGTGCACAATGATGAGGCTGCTTTCAGTAATTCTTTCGTTCAGTGTCCTTCAAATAGGTTTGTCCTTTTGCAATAGATCTGTGTGCTTTTCGTCAAGAGTTAAATTTTAATTTCTCAGATTTTTTTTGTCTCAGATTTTAGAATTGTTTTTCTATTGACTGTCAAAAAAATTAAGTTTTCTTGGGCAGGACACAGTTATGCCCTCCCTTCTCTTTGCTTGTTAAACGTTGACCCCTTTATAGGAGCTTCTGCACTGGTTTTAAACATTCAGCCTGGTCTCCCTACAACCCACCCTGGGATTAATCAGGCTGGATTGCGTGACAAGCTCACAGATCCTTGAAAGTTCTGGACACAGTCCCATCATTGAGCTCCTCCGGCAGGTAGGCAAAGCTGCGTTGGCTGGCTCATGTAGCGGCATGCCCAGCCACCACATGCCCAAGCAGCACGGGCGTGATAAGAGATGGGATTGTGGTATAGAATAATGCGGTGCTGAGTGGAATTTTTAACACGTAGTGGAATTAGCCAATGATTGTTACCAGCGTGGTCAGCCTCTGTAGAAAAGGCTCATGAAGAATGCTAGAGGGCAGTTGGAGGCAGTCGCCCTCCAATAAAACAAGAGGCATATGGCTAAAACGCAGCAAGTTGGCACAGTAGGGATCACAGGTGGAGCGTCTGTCAGTCATCTCAGCAGTCAACCCATACCAACTGGGTCTGTGCTGTCATCTGTCAGTGAGCCTTTGACACTTCGCATGACCTCAAAGTGCACCTATCCTGGCATAAGCTTCCTCGTGACATAACTGCCACTCAGTGGCGAATTGCAGTGGTTGTGGCTGTGGGAAGCAATGTCAGTATGTGTGTGTGTAACTGGAATTCTGTTTTAGGAATTGAGCAGAGACCCTCAGGAGTGCGACACTACCCAGGTCTGGGGTGCCGGGTCTACACGTGATTCTCTGCTGGCAGAGCGAACGGCGTGTACAGTGCCCAGCGGGGTGCAGGGGCACAAGAGTAGTGCTGGTTTGGCTTGCATTCATTCACCGTGGCTGGATTTATTCTGCTCGCACTTAGTCATTTATTCACCATTATCCCATTCACATTTTATAAATACTGCAGTATTGATTAAGGTGATGATCCAGTTCAAACTGCAAACCTCCATAACAAGCGGCGATCATCTTACCGCTGGGCTGTGTCACTTCCCTGAACTGGGAGAACCAAGACCGAAAGTAATAAAACTAATACTCAGCATGTGCGTGGCAGGAGAGGACACGTCGTTTGAGCTGGGCTCCATTGCGGATGAGGAGGATGATATAAGTGAACGCATCGCGGAGCTGCAGTCGAGGAACATGCGCTGTGCCCCGCACATGAAGTCTTCCTACCCAGTGGAGACGCAGGTGAGTGGGGGACCGTACACTCTGCACTCAAGCAACTGTGACTGATAAGAAACAATTATGCTTATATTTCGATTTAAAGCTTTCGTGACTGCAAGGATTAATCTTTTTGGTTCTTTCGGTAAAGTCACGTAGAATGAGAATAAAACAATAAAACAAAATAAGACAATAAAATTCTCACGACGTTTCTCATTCTGTATGACTTTAAAAGAAAGAACCAAGAAGAATTATGCTTATTTCAAGGATATCCCTTTCTACAACCCACAATGACCAGCGTGGTGAATTATGGAGAGATCATCCAGCAGTGGATTGATACAAAGTTGTATATTATTTTTAAAATGTATTAATAAATCAATATAATGTCTTATTTTCCCCTTAATATTTGCCCTTACGTAAAAGTAAAGTTTGGCAGGGTAGCATTCACAATATACACTACAGAACTTTCTATACGTTCTTAATGGGCTGTGGACTTGGGTAAAACCGTATCGGGCACAGAACATTAAATTTCGATTTAAAGCTTTCGTGACTGCAATGATTCATCTTCTTTGGTTCTTTCGGTAAAGTCACGTAGAATGAGAATAAAATAATAAATTGATAAAATAAAATAACACAATAATATTCTCACGACGTTTCGGCCACAACACAAGCGGCCTTCATCAGGTGAAGGGAGCGAGATTGTCTGGTAGGACAGCGCTGGAGTGAGAGAGCCACGTTCAGATCACGGCTTTTAAGCTGTGTGAGAGGAACAAAGAGCCTTGAAGGAATTAGCATCAAATTTAGCATTGAAAAGGCTGAATGATTAGCTTGTGACTGGTCACAGAAATAGCTATGTTAAAAGTTGAAGCATACACCTCCGCAGAGGTACCCATTGTTAAAAGGAATTAGCATAGAATTTAGCATTGAAATAGCTAAATTAAGGCATTCGCTTGTAGCTGCTACAGAAATAGTTACGTTGAAGTCAGAGCATACACATTCACCGAGGCACTTAGTACAAATCAAAACAGGAGAATTTAGCATTGAAATAACTAGGCGAATTTAGCATTGAGCTATTCACAGTACTATATAGTGAACCAATAAAAACTAAAATATAAATTACCTTCATGTTATCAATAAACTCTATATTCTCCAATCAGCTAAGCTACCAACCATAAGTCGTTATATATCACAATGCTATATGGCGAAAAAATGGGTGGATTCTTACCCTCAAATTTCCGTACCACAGATAGCTACGGGCCCCGTTCAGACGGACGAGTTCGTCCATGGTCGGAACAGAGGAGGGGGAGAGAGACAGCTGCGAAGCCCTAGTATACTCCATGTTGTAAACCATACCATTAACCGTGGTGTGAGAGGTATTAAGAGGCAATGCTGGCGAAAGAGCTGCGGTCTGAAGGTCATCGTAAAATTACAATTAATTAAGAACAGAAATGATTTAACACATCTTTCCAGTGGTTACTAAGCCTGAATCCATCTTCTCGGTTGAAATTGTCTCTGTGCTTGTATATGTGAATGGCCTCATGAACGAATCTCTCATGGTAGCCAGTTGGTTTGCAAAGAACCTCCGTCTTGGAGAAGTCAATGTCATGTGAGCCCACTGAATTGTAACAGTGATCTGCCACGGCAGAGGAGTTCGTCTTACCGTGTTTCAAGTCTGCTTTATGTTCGCGGATGCGGTCCGAGATATGTCTTTTGGTTTCTCCAATGTAGCTACTACCACAGAGGCACCTTAGTTTGTAAACGCCCGGGTACTGTATGTCTGGAAGAGCATCTTTTACAGATGGAACTAAATCACGGATTTTGTGTACTGTGTTGAATCGGACCTGGATCTTGTGTTTATTCAGGATTTTGGAGATCTTTTTAGTGACCCCTGCAATGTAGGGTAAGGTGATGGTTTTGAGTGGCTCCACAAGAGGATCCTTCTTCATGACTGGAGTGATGGCTTTGTGGATTGTGTAGTCGGAGTAGCCATTAGCCCTGAGAGCCTGGTGTACGTGCTTGAGTTCACTGGTAATGTGTTCCTGGTCGGAAATGCATTGGGCTCTATGGTATAGAGTCTTGATGAGGCAGTTCTTCTGGGATGGATGGTGGTGGGAATCCGGTTTCAAGTAAGCATCTGTATGGGTAGCTTTCCTGTAGACAGAGTGGCTCATTGAACCATCATGTCTCCTTATAATTAAGACATCCAGAAAGGGTAGTTTGCCATCTTTTTCGACCTCCATGGTAAATCTGATGGCTGGGTGTATGGAATTGATGTGGTCGCGGAATTGGTCTAGAGCAGGCTGGCCATGTGGCCAGATGACAAAGGTGTCATCAACGTACCTCTTCCATAAGGTCGGGCGTAGAGTGGCAGTCTGGATGGCGTCAGTTTCAAATTTTTCCATGAATACGTTGGCTACAACCGGAGATAGGGGGGAGCCCATTGGGGTGCCCTCAGTTTGTTTGTAGAAAGTTCCATTCCAGGTGAAGTCTGTGTTGGTTAAGCAATGTCTCACCAGGGGGGGTACATCAGTATGCAGTCCTTGATGAACCAGGTCTTCAATGATAGCGATGGTGTCAGGTACCGGGACTTTGGTGAACAAGGACACCACATCAAAACTGACAAGCAGGTCGTTTGGGGACAGGGAAATGTCTTTGATTGTCGATACCACATGGCCAGCCTGCTCTAGACCAATTCCGCGACCACATCAATTCCATACACCCAGCCATCAGATTTACCATGGAGGTCGAAAAAGATGGCAAACTACCCTTTCTGGATGTCTTAATTAAAAGGAGACATGATGGTTCAATGAGCCACTCTGTCTACAGGAAAGCTACCCATACAGATGCTTACTTGAAACCGGATTCCCACCACCATCCATCCCAGAAGAACTGCCTCATCAAGACTCTATACCATAGAGCCCAATGCATTTCCGACCAGGAACACATTACCAGTGAACTCAAACACGTACACCAGGCTCTCAGGGCTAATGGCAACTCCGACTGCACAATCCGCAAAGCCATCACTCCAGTCATGAAGAAGGATCCTCTTGTGGAGCCACTCAAAACCATCACCTTACCCTACATTGCAGGGGTCACTAAAAAGATCTCCAAAATCCTGAATAAACACAAGATCCAGGTCCGATTCAACACAGTACACAAAATCCGTGATTTAGTTCCATCTGTAAAAGATGCTCTTCCAGACATACAGTACCCGGGCGTTTACAAACTAAAGTGCCTCTGTGGTAGTAGCTACATTGGAGAAACCAAAAGACATATCTCGGATCGCATCCGCGAACATAAAGCAGACTTGAAACACGGTAAGACGAACTCCTCTGCCGTGGCAGATCACTGTTACAATTCAGTGGGCTCACATGACATTGACTTCTCCAAGACGGAGGTTCTTTGCAAACCAACTGGCTACCATGAGAGATTCGTTCATGAGGCCATTCACATATACAAGCACAGAGACAATTTCAACCGAGAAGATGGATTCAGGCTCAGTAACCACTGGAAAGATGTGTTAAATCATTTCTGTTCTTAATTAATTGTAATTTTACGATGACCTTCAGACCGCAGCTCTTTCGCCAGCATTGCCTCTTAATACCTCTCACACCACGGTTAATGGTATGGTTTACAACATGGAGTATACTAGGGCTTCGCAGCTGTCTCTCTCCCCCTCCTCTGTTCCGACCATGGACGAACTCGTCCGTCTGAACGGGGCCCGTAGCTATCCGTGGTACGGAAATTTGAGGGTAAGAATCCACCCATTTTTTCGCCATATAGCATTGTGATATATAACGACTTATGGTTGGTAGCTTAGCTGATTGGAGAATATAGAGTTTATTGATAACATGAAGGTAATTTATATTTTAGTTTTTATTGGTTCACTATATAGTACTGTGAATAGCTCAATGCTAAATTCGCCTAGTTATTTCAATGCTAAATTCTCCTGTTTTGATTTGTACTAAGTGCCTCGGTGAATGTGTATGCTCTGACTTCAACGTAACTATTTCTGTAGCAGCTACAAGCGAATGCCTTAATTTAGCTATTTCAATGCTAAATTCTATGCTAATTCCTTTTAACAATGGGTGCCTCTGCGGAGGTGTATGCTTCAACTTTTAACATAGCTATTTCTGTGACCAGTCACAAGCTAATCATTCAGCCTTTTCAATGCTAAATTTTATGCTAATTCCTTCGTCAAGGCTCTTTGTTCCTCTCACACAGCTTAAAAGCCGTGATCTGAACGTGGCTCTCTCACTCCAGCGCTGTCCTACCAGACAGTCTCGCTCCCTTCACCTGATGAAGGCCGCTTGTGTTGTGGCCGAAACGTCGTGAGAATATTATTGTGTTATTTTATTTTATCAATTTATTATTTTATTCTCATTCTACGTGACTTTACCGAAAGAACCAAAGAACACAGAACATTAGTCTAGGATTGCGCCAGACTTGCATACAAATATATGATCAGCTGCTTATTATATAGTTAGTAGACTAGCATTTCAGACATTTGGCCTTGAGCTTTTAAAAAGCACAATTTAGCTTTGAATAATGAATATTGTCAAAAACATTAGCCAATGTAGATACTCTTTAGTTTAACACGTAGGCTTTCGCGACCAATATTATTCATAATAAAGGTTTTTGGGTTAGATCGCGTTATTTATAAATGTGTCGTAACCCTCCACCACCCGACACGGCCAATCAGCAAAAAAGTGTCATGTTGACAAAAGACAAATAATTCACTACTTTAGCCCACCGGTGTGTTGAAGAGTGAATCCACAACATTTACAGTTTGAGTACGACGTTTCGCTGGTAATTACATCCAGCATCATCGGGCAATTCGCCAGAATGGTAAAGCCCTCGCTTGCTCCCGGTCTTAAATAGAGCAGCAGGGTGACGTCATTTAACTCATTTCAGGTGCAGTGATTTGGGGGGGGGGGATTGTAATTATGTAATTGATTGGTAATCAGTCAATGGTTATGATTAGTAATGAGTTGTAGATTAGTAATTAATTGTAATGTGTGTTATTGTGATTATATGCTATGTTAGTAATCCGTTAATTAGTATGTGTTTCCCCTATAAGGAATTGTAATATGTATTATTTAATAATACGCTTCCAAGCCGCACTAAGCCTGTAGCCATCAGAGCGATTAAAGTTATTTTTATTCCTCTCAATTTCAATGGATTTTCTAATTAGTCTTTGCCAGTAATAATTAGTTTTACACAACACTTCAACGTTAAAATCAATTGAGTTTCCTTGTTGGCAAGCATGTTCTGCCACTGCCGACAGTTGTGTTTGAGATAATTTAATATTTCTTTGATGTTCTTTTAGTCTTATGCTGATGTTACGTCCCATCTGTCCAATATAGCATCTGCCACATAAACAATTAATCCGATATACACCTTCTGTTGATAATTTAGGTAATGCGTCTTTAGTGCAAGATACTAGTTTTTGAATTTTGTGTACTGTACCAAATCTTACTGTAATGTTTTGCTTTTGCAAAACACGGGTTAATTTGTCAGTTACTCCTGAGATATATAGAATTTTTATTGTTTTAACAATCTGATCGCTTTCAGCAGTATTGCTTTGCGATCGTGATTTGGCATTCAGTGCTCTCTTAATTTGAGCATTATTGTAGCCATTCTGTCGTAGTGCTTCTTTAACGTGTTTGATCTCTCTCACTAGACTTTCACCATCTGACACTGTTTTAGCCTGATGTATGAGCGTCTTGATAAGAGAGGATTTCTGAGCTGGATGATGATGCGAATCTGCATTCAGATAGGCATCAGTATGCGTTTGCTTTCTGTAAACGCTGTGTGTTATTTTACTGTTTAGGCCATGTCCAAGCAAAATATCTAGGAACGGGAGTGTGTTATTCACCTCCATTTCCATGGTGAACTGGATGGCCGGGTTTTGTGCATTGAGATGATTTAGAAAATCATTAAGTGTATCTTTACCATGTGGCCAGACAACAAAAGTGTCATCCACATATCTAAACCAAAAAGATGGTTTTAATGTGCTCGAGGCAAGTGCAATATATGTGTAATGAGGACTTGACACACTTCTCTTGAGATGGCACTTTATTGAACACGCGTTCACTTGACATCAGGCGGAGATCCCACTGCAAAAGCCCCGAGTCTCCCGCGCATCTCTATTATATATCAAGACGAGGCCACGCCGTCCTACTCAATCATTCTCGCTGACTCTGGACGCTCCCTCTACATGCAGACTTGGCCGTTCTTTTCCGTCACCTGACCACACTCCCTTCTCGAACATTCCTGTAGCCACCAGTCCATTCGCACTGCAGGCTGACTCCTGTGGCCACTAGTCCCCTCACACTACATGCAGGCCCTATTGTCATTACATATGCATAATAAATTAGACACGTATATTGGGATGTTTAACATTATGGGCTTAAACTTCACATACACAACAAATAAGTTTGATTTCTTGTAGGAAGCCAGCATGACTGCAGTTAACATCGTTATAACTATGCTTTTGTTCATGCAAGAAACTGACACCATGTTGGCGTTTGTTTGTATCTGTCCTTCACCATGTGGGTAGGTAGGGGCTGTTGTGGTGCTGAGGCTGCGTGTTTGTGTGTTTGTAGACATGTGTACAGACGACAGATGAGCAAATGAAACAGGGCGACCCCGTGGAGACGCTGCGCAGAGCTTCCATGTTGAGCTGCACTGGGCAAGAAAGACATTCACAGGTCCACACTTTGCTCCGACACTGCGCCGGAGGGGGTGATGTGGCAAACAACAATGCCCGGACGCTTTTGTCTCCCCAGTACTGATGTTTAAATGCAGCATCAGGTACTCATTTATTGCTGAATTTGCCTAGGAGAGGCCCAAGACCGGTTCATATATTTGTCACTGATGTTGGCTGTGAGCAGGAATAATCGCTGTGCTACCGCATGACAGTAATTTATTTTGGGTTAGATCCTTGTAGGGGTTTATACCAATATTTTAACATAACCCTTCACCCATTTGGCTAATCAACAAGCCGATTTTGCTGAATAACTAAATCAATTAGCATATTTCCCCACATGGCAGCTTGATATGATTGACTCTGCAATCAAGAGTTCCGTTCAAAATTTACATTATAGATACAGGCTAACCAAAAAGAAACTATGAATTGGATGATATATTTTAAGTATTTTTCAATTGTTAATGTCAAATATGGATGTTATTCTTATGGCGTTAATTAGTGGAAATGGAATGTGGTGAGTGTTCATTTATGCAAAGTTAATCAAAGCGTAGTAATGGTGTCCTTATTTAATTATTCACAGTCTGACAGACATCCCCCATAACCAGAATTGCTCTGCCCCCAATTACTCTGGCTTGGAGAGGTTTCACTGAATTCTGTTTGGGCCACAGAGGCAAATGACCATTGTTGACTGACCACAAAAAGTGGCACTTATTTTATTGATCCCAAGGCGATGATTTGCTGAGTTGACCCTTGACCAGGATTTAAACCTTCAACGTTGAGTTAAATGCTCTAGCCACAGTGGCACTGGTTAAGGCTGTGCATGTGTGATTCAATATGAGGGAACAGTAAGAATTAAAAACGGACAATGAAAAATAAAAACTACTTGCACAGTGAGAACCTTGACTGCTGCATATTGTTGGGTGATCCCACGGAACATGTGTGCATGCTTTGTGACGGCAGAGCTTGGCTCCACGACGGTTCACCTTAGTGCCCAGGGGTCACGTGAGTCCCTCCGGCTTGTGGTCGCTCAAGTCCACGGTGGACAGAAGGCCGGCCACCAACATGGCCACTTTGCTCTCGGACACGGTGGCCAGGGAGAAGAAAGGGCCTCCTTCACAGGCCGCTACCTTCTCCAGGAAACGCCCTGCATCTTCAGGGCAGTTCTCACTGCAGGTCGGTGATAACCACGATATATTCTATAAAACAGCAATGCCCGTTCATCCACGCAGGTGTTAAATCGTGTTGCGACATTCACAAAGCTTGTGCAGTGACATGGACCACCGGTATCGCGTTCACCACTTGTTGCATAGGTTCACTGGTTGTCACTGCTGGTGTATTAACCATAAAACAATATGCGCCCTCCATTTCACAGTTTACATTAATGATCATTATTTTCGTCTCCCCCCTCCTCTTTTCCAAACATAGATGGACTCGTCCATCTGAATAACTGCCATATCGCTCTCCGTGGTGCTAACGTTAAAAAAACGCCACTTTTTTCAAATTTTCTTGCTGTGGTTTTCACACCTGATGATGATTGCTTGGGTTGCAGTCGAAACATCGTGAGAATTTTATTGTTTTATATTTTTATTATTTTATTGTTTCCCTTCTACATGACTTTACCGAAAGAACCAAGAATATGAATTCCTGCAGTCACGAAAGCTTTAAATCAAAATTAATGATCTCGTGATGTAATTCATAAGAGTAGGGCATTTTTTATGGTGTCCTGGTCCAAATATGAAAAATTACATGCAAATTAATCAGTTTGAATATGCCCGGACTGCATAAACTTCAGGGACCTCCTTAAAAAGTTATGAAGGTAAACGCTTTCTTAGGTAAACGTGTGTAATAAATAAATAATAGACTGGAGAAACTGATCTTAGAATCTGTGTCTATTATATCTGACCAGATATTTTATTTATATTCATATTCTTAGTTCTTTCGGTAAAGTCACGTTGAAGGGAAACAATAAAATAATAAAATATATGTAAAACAATAAAAATTCTAACGACGTTTCGACCATAACACAAACGGTCGTCTTCAGGTGTGTCGGTTTGCATAAATTTATTAATTAGTAAACGGTGTGTTTATTTATTTATTTAAAAAACGTTAGCGCCATGCGCAGCGATTTGGCAGTTTATTTAGAAGGACTAGTCCATCTATGTTCTGAAAAGAGGAGGGGGGCGACGAATTTTTTTTTTTTTAATGTATGCTGTCTGAAAGCCACTGTAAGCGTGAATAATCAATTAAGACCTGAAATGGTTTATCAAATCTTTCCAATGATTGCTAAGCCAGAATCCATCTTCTCGGTTGAAATTGTCTCTGTGCTTGTATATGTGGATAGCCTCATGAACGAATCTCTCATGGTAGCCAGATGGCTTACAAAGAACCTCTGTCTTGGAAAAGTCAATGTCATGTGAGCCTACTGAATTATAACAATGATCTGCCACGGCCGAGGTGTTGGTCCTACCGTGTTTAAGGTCTGCTTTGTGTTCACGAATGCGGTCCGAGACATGGCGTTTGGTTTCTCCAATGTAACTACTACCATAGAGGCAACTTAAACAGATATTTTATTGTCATTGCAAAGAATCAAGGACAAGTGTATGTATGTTGAACTTCTTTCGCACCGTTCGCAGCCAACCATGCTAATTGAAGGTGTGGTATGTGAACCAACCACATCAAAATGTATCAGACACATCATTGGAATGGACCCAAGAGTTGAACAAATAAGGATGCATTGAGTAAGATGAATGTCCACAAGTTCAGTCTAAAAGATCAATCCAATCAACTGTTCAGTAAAATCACAAAAGTTTTCTTTCCTTGAGCAGCAAAATTTAAAAGTAGACTGCACCGAGTAAACATGAGACTATATCTACATGTAGTTTGTAAGCAAACATTCGCATTTTGACCATAAAAAAATAATTCCGTGCTTCACTACTCATTTGCTTTGTGTTGAATGTTTATTTGTACAGAACAAACGATTTCAAGGGGCAAGTATATCCAAACCTTATTGCTCAGAAGCAGAAAACCAAGGCAGTGGAGACTTTGAGTCATTTGAAAACATCATCCCAGAGGAGTCAGACTTTACAAATATCGAGGTACCTCATCCCCCACCCCTCGCTCCACATTTTCATGGTGCCGACTACTTATTAACCCAGAATCAGAATATTTATACTAGAGCAATCCGATGACCTATGAAGCTCTTTCTCACAAATGTCCTGCCAAGTGTTCACAGAAAAGGTCAATGTTGCTATCTGTAGTCTTAATGAAGTAATTTGCAGGATATTCTTAGCATTGGGTTGTTTGGCCAACACCAGTTATGTTCAATGTTTATTTTTAATATGGGAGGAAACCGTAGAAGCTGGGTGACAACCATGCAGAACAGGGGGAGAACATAGATACTCAGGAATTGGACCGATGTCCTTTTTTCTGTGAAGCACACGTGTTCCCACTGCACATCCTGCTGCCATTGTATCTAATGGAACATAAATATCAGTGGAAAACAGAAATCCACAGCCAGCAGATCGTAACTTAATCGCTTTGACTGAGCGTCACTTCCACCAGGCTTATGTGATTTGAGAAAACTCACTACTATTAGCCACTTCAAGAAATGTATGCTAAGGGATACTCAGCAATGGGTCTGTGTATCATATATAATTGTGTGGTGTCATTAGAGCTACAACATGCTTGTCAAAACGTACTATAACATGGCACTTATAATTCGTTATCTTTGAGGAACATAATACAAGACCAATAATACTTTATAAAATATACTGCATATTTTATAAAAGTGGTATTGAGGAACATAATACAAGACTAACTATACTTTATAAAATATAATGTATATTTAATAAAAGTGGCATTCTTATGGATTGCACTTCCCATGCTCGTGTGAGCCATTTGTGGGTGAGAAACCACTTTAAATTGACTACCATATTGAATTGTACAAAGAGTTGTGCATGAACATAGCTTGCAAGTCCCTTCAGGTGGTTGGTGATGAGATGTTTTGAGTCGTTGTTCTTGCTTATCTGTCAGACATTGACCATTCGCAGCAGCGCACGGATATTAACCAAGAATTCGACCACTAGCTTGACTCACACTAGAAATGTATTCACTGATTCATTTATACATTCACAAGCATGTCTAATGAAGGCAACATGTAATCCTCTGAATTCCGACTTGCAGGCTTTGAGGCGGCAGAGTGTGGCTTTCCAGGTGCCAATCACTCCAAAGGTGAATCGTCAACTAAAACCCTTGCGCCGAATGGTGTTGGGAGCATCCAACAAAGCTGTAAAAACCCAGAAGAAGCACTGAAGCAATTTGTAAATGTAAACACAACAGGATAGATTGTCATGATAATCACTTTGCATCACCTTGGCTATGTCTCACATTTGTTGATGGATACCTTGCCAAATTATCATGGAAAAATCAGAATTTTTTTTACATTCATCAACACTTAAATGGAGCCCCATGTTCATATGTTAAAAATCTGTGAGTTTGTTTTGAACTCATGGGGGGTGTATAGCTATTTGCAGGCTGGAGAAATTTGTGTTTTTATCGTGTTTGGAGCTTTAAAATCCAAGCATGGTTTATTGGACCAAATGGTTTTGAATATGCAGACATTTTATTTGATACGGATCCTGACATTGCATTGGAATTTGCATTTCAGATTGTGTAATGAAAGCTGCGTGGAGGTGACTTGTTAACTGTACAAATAAAACGTTGATTTAATTATATTTTTTATCTGCTGTGTTCTCTGAACTGCGTAAGGATCGAAGCGTTTTTTAAGAAAGCGAATGGTTGTTTTATTTAGAGGGTTGTGTCCTGGGGTGGGTCTCTGTTTCTCTCTGTGTCCGCTAAATTAATTAACCAACATGGACGCCTGCTAAATGCATCCGTAGCAGCAGCTAATTACAGTGCTACTGCTGCTGTACCTGTATATCAGCAGAATGTGGTGCTTTTGAGGATGCTTCTGCTTGTTCCATCATCATCAGGTTCAAGCAATGATGAGTTTTGTATCAGCTAATGATGGGGATGCACCAGCAGCAGCACATATTGAGGATACCAAATCATCATCAACAGCAGTAAGTGATGTTGATAATTCTGCATCATTACTCGCTGATGATGCTTCTGCTGTTCCACCATCGGCAACATCATTGTGATCATCACCAGCAGCATAATCAGTAGTAGAAAGTGTTGATCATTACCTATTTTCCCGCATATAACTTGCGGGGTATACCACTTTTCACAAACAAAACAAGACCCTGCGGGGTATATGGATGTGCGGGCTATCCCAAAAATATTTTACACGTGTGACATGTCATAACTCATATTTTTTCATGGTAGGACTATCCATTATGCAACACTTACCTTTGACGAAAGCACTGCTGTATAAACCACTCGCACTAAAATTGCACATGTTATCACGTTTTAAATGAAGTATTTGTACAATTGAACGACAATGTTTTAAGTGCGTGCACTTTACCGGCGACGGGAGAGCTGGGGGGAGAGAGAGGTGGGGGGTGGGGCACAGCAAGATCTGCAGCGGCGACGGGAGAGCTTCTTTACTGTTTTAAGTTCACTCGTTTCCGATTAGTTTGTTTTCTTTGTGCACGTTATGATTTTAATGTTAACAATTGATAGTGGAATGTAATACAAATGCAAACTTCGTATTAATATGATGGAATTAAGCTGCAGTAACAACGTTAAAGATATGAATGCATGCGGGGTATATGGAGGCGCGGGCTATCTAAAATGTCGATTAAAAGCTTTCGTGACTGCAGGGATTCATATTGGTTCTTTCGGTAAAGTCACGTAGAATAAAAATAAAATAATAAAAATGAAACAATCAAATATAAATTCTCACGACGTTTTGGCCACAACACAAGTAGCCTTCAGGTGAAGAGGCAGAACTGTCGGCAAGACAGCGCTTCAGTGAACACAGCCAAGCTTTGGCCGCGTCTTTTAAGCTGGGTAGGAGGAGCAAAGCGCCTTGACGAAGGTGTTTACATATCAACAGAATAATTTAGCATTGAAGTAGCTATGTTAATGTGTTGGATTAGCATGATGTTAAAGTCAGAAATTAGCATGTAACTGGGGGATTAGCATGATGTTAGTGTGAGGGATTAGCATGTGACTGTCGGAACTATGTCGGAAAAAAGTGGCGGTTTCTTTTTCTTTTCAACGTTAGCACCACTGTGGTTAGCACCACTGTGGTTAGCACCACTGTGGTTAGCACCACTGTGGTTAGCACCACTGTGGTTAGCACCACTGTGGTTAGCACCACCGGAAAGCGACGAGCTTTGTCCAGACGAACGAGTCCATCTATGCTCGGAACGGAGGAGGGAGGAGAGAAGAAACAGCAACGATGCGCTGCTCCGTCCTGTGTTGCGTTACTACTATGCTACAAACTAGACTACTATAAATTTCGATTTAAAGCTTTCGTGACTGCAATGATTCATCTTCTTTGGTTCTTTCGGTAAAGTCACGTAGAATGAGAATAAAATAATAAATTGATAAAATAAAATAACACAATAATATTCTCACGACGTTTCGGCCACAACACAAGCGGCCTTCATCAGGTGAAGGGAGCGAGACTGTCTGGTAGGACAGCGCTGGAGTGAGAGAGCCACGTTCAGATCACGGCTTTTAAGCTGTGTGAGAGGAACAAAGAGCCTTGACGAAGGAATTAGCATAAAATTTAGCATTGAAAAGGCTGAATGATTAGCTTGTGACTGGTCACAGAAATAGCTATGTTAAAAGTTAAAGCATACACATCCGCAGAGGCACCCATTGTTAAAAGGAATTAGCATAGAATTTAGCATTGAAATAGCTAAATTAAGGCATTCGCTTGTAACTGCTACAGAAATAGTTAGGTTGAAGTCAGAGCATACACATTCACCGAGGCACTTAGTACAAATCAAAACAGGAGAATTTAGCATTGAAATAACTAGGCGAATTTAGCATTGAAATAACTGGGTGATTTGCTAGTGACTGGTCACAGAAATGACTACAAATCTGAGCTATTCACAGTACTATATAGTGAACCAATAAAAACTAAAATATAAATTACCTTCATGTTATCAATAAACTCTATATTCTCCAATCAGCTAAGCTACCAACCATAAGTCGTTATATATCACAATGCTATATGGCGAAAAAATGGGTGGATTCTTACCCTCAAATTTCCGTACCACGGATAGCTACGGGCCCCGTTCAGACGGACGAGTTCGTCCATGGTCGGAACAGAGGAGGGGGAGAGAGACAGCTGCGAAGCCCTAGTATACTCCATGTTGTAAACCATACCATTAACCGTGGTGTGAGAGGTATTAAGAGGCAATGCTGGCGAAAGAGCTGCGGTCTGAAGGTCATCGTAAAATTACAATTAATTAAGAACAGAAATGATTTAACACATCTTTCCAGTGGTTACTGAGCCTGAATCCATCTTCTCGGTTGAAATTGTCTCTGTGCTTGTATATGTGAATGGCCTCATGAACGAATCTCTCATGGTAGCCAGTTGGTTTGCAAAGAACCTCCGTCTTGGAGAAGTCAATGTCATGTGAGCCCACTGAATTGTAACAGTGATCTGCCACGGCAGAGGAGTTCGTCTTACCGTGTTTCAAGTCTGCTTTATGTTCGCGGATGCGATCCGAGATATGTCTTTTGGTTTCTCCAATGTAGCTACTACCACAGAGGCACTTTAGTTTTTAAACGCCCGGGTACTGTATGTCTGGAAGAGCATCTTTTACAGATGGAACTAAATCACGGATTTTGTGTACTGTGTTGAATCGGACCTGGATCTTGTGTTTATTCAGGATTTTGGAGATCTTTTTAGTGACCCCTGCAATGTAGGGTAAGGTGATGGTTTTGAGTGGCTCCACAAGAGGATCCTTCTTCATGACTGGAGTGATGGCTTTGCGGATTGTGTAGTCGGAGTAGCCATTAGCCCTGAGAGCCTGGTGTACGTGTTTGAGTTCACTGGTAATGTGTTCCTGGTCGGAAATGCATTGGGCTCTATGGTATAGAGTCTTGATGAGGCAGTTCTTCTGGGATGGATGGTGGTGGGAATCCGGTTTCAAGTAAGCATCTGTATGGGTAGCTTTCCTGTAGACAGAGTGGCTCATTGAACCATCATGTCTCCTTTTAATTAAGACATCCAGAAAGGGTAGTTTGCCATCTTTTTCGACCTCCATGGTAAATCTGATGGCTGGGTGTATGGAATTGATGTGGTCGCGGAATTGGTCTAGAGCAGGCTGGCCATGTGGCCAGATGACAAAGGTGTCATCAACGTACCTCTTCCATAAGGTCGGGCGTAGAGTGGCAGTCTGGATGGCGTCAGTTTCAAATTTTTCCATGAATACGTTGGCTACAACCGGAGATAGGGGGGAGCCCATTGGGGTGCCCTCAGTTTGTTTGTAGAAAGTTCCATTCCAGGTGAAGTATGTGTTGGTTAAGCAATGTCTCACCAGGGGGGGGTACATCAGTATGCAGTCCTTGATGAACCAGGTCTTCAATGATAGCGATGGTGTCAGGTACCGGGACTTTGGTGAACAAGGACACCACATCAAAACTGACAAGCAGGTCGTTTGGGGACAGGGAAATGTCTTTGATTGTCGATACCAGGTGAGTAGAATTTAGTACCGCAGAGGTGGTTTTTCCAGTGAAAGGTCGCAGTATATCAGCCAGAAAACGTGCCAGTTTGTAGGTGGGGGAGCTGATAGTAGAGACGATGGGACGAAGGGGTGTATCTTCTTTGTGTATCTTTGGAAGGCCATATAATCTTGGTGGTCTGGCAGCAGAGGGTTTCAACAAGAACTGTTTGTTCTCATCAATTAATGCTGTTGAATCAGAGATAATTTTGTTCGTTTTGGTGACCAGGCTGTTGGTGGGATCTCTTTTTATTTTTGTATAGCTGCCATAGTTGAGTAGTTCTTGAATTTTGTTGTTATATTCTGTTTTGTCCATGATGACAGTGGCATTGCCTTTGTCGGCTGAGAGAACGACAATATCATCCCTCTTTTTTAATTGAGATAATTCAAAACGTTCGTCTTTGCTGATGTTGCTAGGTGGCAACTTAGCGTTTTTGAGGGTTGCAGCGATTTCAGATCTTGCTACGTCTGCAGAGATGTGACTCAAGCCCTTGAGTGCAACGTCGACATGGGCAATGATATCATTAACCGGTAAGTGTCTCGGTGTGACAGCAAAGTTTAGACCTTTAGCTAAAACGGATTTCAGACCATCAGAAATGGAACTGTTACTGCGATTAATTACGACTTTGTTGACGTCTATCTTTTCGGTGTGTGGATCCGATTTTTTGCTGGAGAGGTGATTGAATTTGGAAATCAAATTGTCCCTACATTTGTTCGACATAGTGGCAGCCGAAGAGGTAGTCATATTGTCTACATGTTCCCAATCCGATGTAGACATTGTTGCTGTCAATTTTAAGTGTGATTTGTAGAGTGTCTTGTCTAACTGATCGAGTTCGGTGCGTGTAAGTCTGATTTTTTCCGAGATAAGAGCGAAGCTAGTTCTAGCTAGAATTCGTTTTGCATTGAGAGAAGTTGCAACAGCAGAGGTTAGTGTAAATGCGGTTGGTATTACCTTAGAGTCGCGGCATCTCTTCAGAAAGGTGAGAGACTCGATTAGTTGAGCCTTCTTATCCCGAAGTCTGTTGAATGATCTTAAGGATGTGTGGAATCCCTCCCCGTAGAGGCGGTTAAATTTCGATTTAAAGCTT